ACTGTAATAAGTACATTCAAATATAAAATTTTTCAGATATTCTTTAAAGCAGTTTCTGAAAATACAACATCAGGTTGTCAAGGTATAACAGTACCTCATTCCAAAACATATTTTGCAAACAATTCTTCTAATCGATATCTTTTTAATAATAATAATAATAATGATAATAATTTATTACTTTTAGCATTCTGTTGTCCATAGTCTAACATCAATACACTACAATGTATATTTAACACAGAACAGTATAAATAAATTTAGTGTGTAAATAAAAACGAGACACAAAATATTTGTCAGCTGATATTGACGTTATGACTCCATTAATTTATCCTTCATACTATTTTTACAAAAGTAGTCAAAAGAGACACTGAAATTTTTGCAGCTTATACAGTCGCATATAATTTATTAAAATGGTGAAAGTTGTTTTATGAGATCACATCGTACTATTTTCGAAGAAGATGAATTTTAAAGAATTTGGATATACAGTTTTTTAGATAAACCAAAAAATTTACACAGGCAAAAAAGAAACAAAAGCAAAATGTTCAATAATTATTACAATAGTCTTTTTTAAAAAAAAAGGTTCACGAAAGTCTATAATTAATGCCGTTCCTTAACGTGTACTACTTCTTTAAACAAAAGAGTTCTTATTTTTGTGTATATTATGTTTCATAATTGTGTCCAAGTCCTTAGAAAATGAACCGTACTTATTCTTATCATCCGAATTAACTTTATATTTCAAAATTATATATAGAACTATACAAATAAATGTATTTTACTGCTCATCAGAACAAACAAAAGTTGAAACATCTATAGCTTTGTTCTTTGTATGTATTTGTATAGGTATAGTTATGTAATTTATATTATAGGTAACCATAAACGAAGGACTAAAGCCTGAAAGAGATAAATTTAGACTGAAATGGTATCAAAAGCACTAAAATTGACGTCAGCGACATTTGTTGAACCTTATTATAACGATCAGAAAGTTACGTAGTCCATAATCAATAAAAATTGGAAGTTTAGCAGCGAATGATTTTAATCTTCCCTCTTCTGACATAACGTTTAACGTAGTACAACTATATTAGCTGATTGAATGCCTAGTCTGTATTTTAAGTGTGTAAAAAGTCCACAACCTAGAATTCCTTGCGCCTCGCTACAAAACACGATTAGTAATCTAAAAAATAAAAGTAATGAGTTCTTTGACAACACAAATGTGTAAATAATCAATAATGTCAAGGATACAATTTTCGTTTCTCCATCTAAATATCTGGGTGCTGTTATTTAAAAAGAGGTCATTCCGGCGGTATTAAACATCATTTCATACACGGATCTTTCCTTTCCTTACTCGAGAATATTTTGCTGATACAAACAACGCTTAACGTATTTTGAAGTTATTGCCTAGTAATCAATTCATCGGTATATATGAAGTGCTTACATAGTTTGTCTCTGCGGTGGAAACAAGTTTCGGGGCGGGTAACTTTGCTGACACTTATAACATCCATCGTTCTAGGTACAGATATCATTTCATGCTTGTCAAATAGAGCACATGATGTTATGTACAGAACTGCAAGATCTAGTTTTGAGTAAGTTACGGAGTACTGCAGGGATCCGTTTTCGATTGATGGCTTTTTTTACTTTATATCGACGAACTCAATCGCAAATGATTTTATTTTTTTTTATCTGGCGTTTTGGATAATGTGTGTCACTGATTTGCAAATAGCAGTATTTCACTCGCATGTAATAAACTCATTCCAGCCAACAGTCGTTATTACACGCTCGTTAAATAACTTAATAATCTCATACTAACACAAGATATAATGTTCATGTAGAGACACATTTATGTCAGTGTGAAAATTAAAAATTACTTAATCCTTATAATAACCTATCGCGCTACTACTTCTTCATTAATTTTGCCTCCTCCGCTACCTTCCATAAAATCAACAGAGGTACTCGCCTAATTAATTTTACTTTCAAATCCTCTGGTCTCTAGACCTTTTTACTGATTTAACTATCCATTACTGATGAGTTCGGTAGCTTTGAACTTTGAACTTTAGCATGTTGTTATCTACATATATGAAGTTTGTTTAATACACCCTCGACTGCAGGTCGTGTTTTCTTAATAATGAACAATTTCAATTAAACTTAGGTATTAACTTGAATTTTAAATGGGTTAATATTATCTAGGGTAATTTTTTTTGCTCCAATAATAAATTCTGCATCCGGCGAAATGAAATTTATTAACTGGAATAAATAAAACTTTTTCACGGCTGATACATTTTATGTTAATATTTTATTACGAAAGACGTTTAATTTTTAATAACGTTCTAAATTGAATTAAAAATTGATTTTTGCATCAGAGAGGTTGATAGACAGTCGTGTCACTGGAATGACATAAATATTTTCACAATTTAAAACTCGTCAGTTGGTAATGATATAAATACTAAATTTTAATAATGATAATATATCGATTAATAGTAAGTTGTTAACTAAGTCTGACTTGATTAAATAAATTAATTTGCAAGTGATAGGGTAATATTTTTTCCAGAGATATAAACTAATCAATGAAAGATGCAGTAAAGATGACAAGACAAAAATTAATACAATAAACAATAATCATATTTAAGTACCGAATTTGTTATACAACAATGTTTACCAAACATATTTTAAAATAACGTCACAAGCAAATCAGAGAACATAAATATATTAATAAACTATTATCTCAAAACAGCCACAATAAATATGGTGTAATTAATTTAATTAAGTCCCTATATTACCAGAATCTGAAAAAATTAAATGAACCTTTTAATCTGTTAAATAAATAATATGATAAGTTGGAATAATAAAGCTTTATTAAAATCGACCAGCGAGTACTAGGAAAAGTTAAGTTAGAAAATCCAGAGAGATACACGAGGCATTATTTCCGCCGTACAGCGGCAAATATGTTTTTTCTCTAAAAGGAAAAGAGTAAACATAGGTAGAATTACATAATATTAGAATTTTGAAGATTTTGTAACAAAAGAAAAAAGAAAATCCCAGTTATATTTACCCGCTAATTTTATTAACTAAAAAAAAGTCTCCCACTTTTTCTGAGGAAATACAGTTTCATTCTGTTTGCAGTTACAGTTAAATATAAAAAACATATTTATTTCATCTATCGTTAACTTGAATTTCATTTGTGTTAACAGAGATTTCAAAATGATTACACTGAATATTCAGATTAATTTTTTTGTCGATTGCCTTTTCAGTTCTCCTCAGGGTAATCAAAACATTTGTCACAAAATTCAATCAAACTGATCGAAAAGCTGCCGAGATTATCGACATCCTTTCAGTTTAAAAGCGTTATGTAAGTGCGTTTTTGAACCAATCAAGTAATACCTATAGTGTTATGGAAATTATTTTTTCCAACAACCATTTTGTTAATGATAACTTCAGTATTATCTATTCTGATACATCTGACCATTATGGGTCAATTATTTTAACAGGAAATGAAAATAGTTCCGAGTTTACTACACGATAAATTACACAAAGGATTTTTTCACTAAATAATATATCATTTTTTAGAAATTTATTATCCCTTAGGTGATTTAACCAAACCGCTCGATACCATCAGTTATAAACTCTACTTTGTAAAAATCGAGTTATATGGAGTTAGAGATACAGCTCTCAAGTGGGTTCAATCGTATCTTTCAGAAAATACTCAAATAGTTAGGGCGATCTGTGTCACATCCGAAGAGTTCTTGAGGGAGGTATTTTTAGACCTTTATTATTTGCAGTATTTATTGACGATTTCGGAAGTTCATTGAAAAGTATATACCTATACTTTTCTTTTTGTACAAACAATAATCCGCCCTAATAAGAACGCCTCGACAAATATCAGCAACAAGTCTATCGAGAAATGATAAAATGGCTTGTGTATGCTATAATTCGTGATTCATAAGATAACGACCGCTTTTATACGTATATTACTCGTATTTTGTTTGTTGCTCATGAGAATTTTTATTACAATTTATTATATGTTCCCTCAAGGAATTACAGATTTCGAATTATTTAGGAAACTTAAAAAAACTCTCAAATTTAAAGCTCATAAATCACTGTTGACAAATCAGTGATATTATTATACTGTATATATGTATGTGTTTATTAACTATGAAATCTCCTGACTTCTCATCTTTCACTAAAGCTAAGAAAAAAATTAAATAAAATTTGTATATTATTAGTAATATTATTATATGAAATTTGTAAAAACAACACACTGATCTACAGACCGACGGAAACGTGAAACAGGAAGTTCGTCAAAATAATCTCTTTAAAATACTTAGCTCGTTGTTCATCGGCAAATGAAAGTGGGAACTTTTTTCTTTTTGTTTTTTCAGCAAGTTTGACAGCCAGGTCGTTGTATACACCTTTTTCTGCACAACTTTGAAGTTTTACTTAACCCAATTTTTAATCATTTTACCTGAGTGAGGTTAGTAACATTTTAGCTCCACATGTAACTATCGCATATTTCACTCTTCCTTAACGACAATGTAAGTTTCTTATCATCGCAGCCTAACTGCTTGCGCACGTATATGTGAAGACGAAATCGAAATTTTCGTCTTGACGATCGCCTCCAGGGCCGGCTTTCCCGAAAATGCGCCATCCACTTACTGAACCGGAACTCATCGGGCCTGTATAGTGGTAATTACGTCCACAAGAGCGAGCCCGATCCCCAATAATGGTTTGTTTATAACACAACTCGAAGGCAAATTTAGCGCTCGGGTCTTCGCGTTTTAGTAAATAAAGGCAAAAGCGCGTGAAATCAAAGCGAGCGAGCTCCGGATCACCAAGTGACAAATTTACACGCACCGGGATGGCAATTCAGTACGACTCAACTCTGGCGAAAACAACGACCGGTGTACTTCCTGCTTGACCAAGCAACGGTGCAACTTTTGTTGGCGCGCTGCCAAGGTTCAGAGGGACAGTTTCCCTTCGCTTATCTAACCGAGATAAAGACGTATCGCACTTACCGATTAGCACAGTCAATCCCAAAACGAAAAAACATTTTTCACAAAGTCCACACACAGTCTTCATCTTGGATGCGTTTTTTTAACTGGAAACCTTTAAGATGAGCATCGTGTCGCGGAACTTGACCTTTACAGATAAGAAGAGATTATATTTTGTGGTCGAGTGAACATTATTATTTTTACGACTTGTTAAGAAAGTTGGATTGGAGCGCGAGGAGTGGTGCGCCACCACCGCCGCCGCCGCCGAAGAACGTCGCGACGCTACTGAAGCCGCCAACTGTTTGAATGGGTTTGACGGAGGTGGCGCATGCGAATTTTCGGGGCAAATTGAAAGGGTTAAGTGGTGGGCAAATCAGGTGTGGAGGGTTTATAATCTGAATGCATATAATTAACTCGGTGCATATTTCGGGATCGAGGGATGAAACTGAGAGGGACAATATCTGCTTTTTCCATCCGATAGTATTACAATAGATTAAGTTTTCCTGGCCACGAACTCATTTTCCGTAACACCTACGTAATCGATAAATTATTATCGTCCGAGTACTAAACTTAACTGAAATTTCTAAAATTAGCACACTTATTGTTAGAATTATTCTGTGTTATTCGAACAATAACATTATTATTATTCTCGAAATTGTATTTAAAGTCTGGATATTTTGTTGAACAAAAGCTGGTTTTAATTTGGTTGAAAATAAACTGATTTTTTATTCATCATGTTAGAATTTCTGATCCGAAAACTAGGCTCATGCTTTTTACGTTCAAAATTCTCATTATTTAATACAAGGTGTCCCGACAATCTAGTGGTCAAACTATACTGACACATCCTAATATAAATTGATTTTAGAATGTCCTTAAGAGCACTTATTTAATTTAAAAACTACACACCAAAGTAGCATTTTCCCATAGAACAACCCATACAATTTTCCATGTTTAGACAGATAGATAGATTCGATTTAGATTTCTTGAAGTTAAAAATTCAAACAAATTTAATGTTTTAGAAACAAAATGTCTACGAGAATGAAATCCAAATTCATGCGAGCAACTTCACACAATTTTATGCTGACATCAAGAGCTAGTGGGAATGATTAGACAAATTTGGTTAACATTTTACCTTCTTCAGATATCGCATAGATATCTGGCGGTACACATTCTGGTCGATTAAAAAAAATGTTATTTCAAAAATTGGAAAAATGGATTTTCCGAATTGTTACATGTCATACCCTCTATACATTAAAACAAATATAGATAAGTATATAATACCAGTAAGAGTGTAAGAAGCTAAATTGTATCCTCTAAATGTGTTTTTCAACCTATACATTTTTTGTGTTTATATATGTCGTCCAACTTTTTTTAATAAAACTGTATATTTTTTAGAATGCTTATAGAGCCTGTTTTTCTGAATTCATTAACGTATCATACTTAGGCCACCCATATTCCGCTATTGTCTATGATTCCAACGCATTATGTTACGAAAACATACTTGTTTATATTTGATCTGGGGTGCACTTGTCGTTAGGAAACGGAGAGAGACGGCTTATGAGATGAAAAGTTAATGAGCCAAAACACAAGATAATCCAGTATCTAAATATCGAAAAAATTATAATATTATGATAGCAGAAATTTTTTCGCAAAAATTATATTCTAGAAAAATTAAGTAATTCAAAAATGTGCAGTTTATTGTAATATCAAGAATTTCAGAAATATACCATTTATGAGTACATTCCGGACAGCCTACATATTAAACGACAACAGTTTTGTGTGCACTACAGAGGAAGATTCGAGTTTACTTCCGTGTGATGTGCTGAAGCGCAAGGTTTAAATACGGGAACGTAAATACCTACCTGTCGGGATAAGAATAAACATAATTATTCACATTTATTTTTAAAATATTTTTAAAATATTATTGAAAGAACATTTTATTGGGCAGAAATTTAAAAAATATAATTGTCTCACCTGCCTTAATTAACAATTGTTTAAAAAATGTGAATGCATTGATAAAAGGCGATGTTATGCCTGTATTTCTAGCAAGTTTTGCCATTAGAAAATGTTCCGATCAGCAAGGACACCTATGTCAGTTTCGACAAGTGCAGTGTAATACTAATAATAAAACACTAGGGTGTATCGTTTTTGAAATTTGATCAATAAAAAGTAGAGGGAGCCGTTCTTAATTTATTCAATAAAACAAATAAAGATGATAAAAATCATAGTTTAAAAAGCGCTGCGAAAGCGAAACCTACGACTTAACAGGTGGAGACGCACTCAACACTGCTACGGAGACGCACTTAGATTGCCGATAATACTAGTATGAGAGCTGATCAATGATCATTTCAATTTAGAGACCGAATGTCCGTCAGGCCGAGAAAGGTCAATCTCCGCACGGCTCGTGCGGTATGGGAATTTAGTGCAGTTACGGCCTGCACTTCGTTTATTTTAGAATAGAATAACGTTGCTTCGTTGCATTCTGCTGTTAATTCCCGTTCTCATTTACTTAGCAGTTTTACTAATTAACTTTTGGTTAATTTTATTTATGGAATAAGTGGCGATTAAATGTACTGATTATCACCCGTTACTGCTTCCCGGCGATCCACGCGTCCCTACCCATAATCGTGACATAGCCCAACAGAAATCTACTCTCTATGATCATACAATTTCGATTTTTTTGCGAAATTTGAATGTCTCGGGTAAAAATTCAAAGCGAATTAGCAGACCACCAGTGGCATTTAAGGCATTTTAATATAGAAACTTTTTTGAAGACGTCATCAAATTCTTGGTCAGCGTTTTACCATCTACATGATGTTACTAATATACTTAAAAAATTTGACAGTAATAGGTCTAGTAGTTTCGGGGATTATTTGTGTAATAAAAATTGTCAGAGACGACAGACATATGGAAACGAAAAACCACCTTTTGGACTCAACTACAATACTTCCTTCGCTTACACTTGAGAAGAAAAAAATCGGTTAAAGGTTATTTTGTCAAAACTTCCATCGCTCCTGAAGTACAGTAAATCATATATGTAGCTTTTTGGAAAAGTTACAGTTTTTTATGAGAACCCCTATAAGTTCAAGTAAATGTGGAGAAGTGTGCTAGGCCATGTTTCAAGTGAGTCTATCCATTACAAAATTTTGTGATGACGTCATGGACATTTTTGCAAAGACACATGAATTACTAGTAATAACAGTATTGTATTCCTAAATTTTCACGAAGATGAAGTGAACCGTTCCTGATTTAATCAATAAAATAATCAATTGGTTTGAGTGACCTTGTATAAGTAATTCTAAATGAGAGTTGAAACCCTGAGGTGAGCTGTAGTGCGAAGCTGGAATGAATTAAATAAAAATCGACACAGACGGAAACGGGCTAGCACTTTTTCGGGTTGTAGGGGTCATGAGTCGTAGGAAAAAACATGGAAAGTCCAAATCATCCGACGAAGTCGATTACAATACTCCCTTAGCGTATCTCGTGCAGTATTATTAAGAAACCAGTTGGGATAAACCTGGACGAAGATAATATCAAAAGAAAACTTACTTAGAGAAAAGTTTCAAAGTACTATAAAATATGGGATATTTCATTTGAATTATACAAGAACAGAAAAAAAAATAAATTTAGTCATTGCATATACAAGGTGTCTCTTTTGAAAGATCTATGTGATGGCAACCTCACATTTTTATTATGACTTCGGGCAGAACCGGAAATGACGTCAACTTTATTTTGCTTTACGGAACACTAGGTATATTTTTCCATAAATGGAAAGGTTGATTTTTTTCGAAAAACTCAATAGCAACCAATATTCTAAAATCAATACTTAAAATTCAATAAAACAGACGAACAATTCATATTTATTGACATAAGTTATCTTTTAAAATGAAGAACTATATGTTTATCTTTAAGAATAAAAAAATTTAGGGATTTTATCAAATAAAAGAAACACGTGGTATAATACGTTATAATACTCTCCAGGTTTTTGTATATTCCTCAAGATAACAAACTAAAAAGTTTCTTACAAAATTCTAGAAATCCGTGTTTAATTTCTAATTTTAACATGTATTCTAATTGTGCTCACGTTAATTCAAAAAGTTGTTATTTAATTAATATGATCAAATTAAGAAACTTAAATGTGATTTTTTTACGAACAGATGCAAATATGTTGAAAAGTTTTGGTCAAAAGTATATAAATTTATATCATCTTTCTCAAGCGTAATAAAGACTTTTTGGCCAATGACTAATTTCATGTGCGCTGTGTGTCTAGACCACAGAAAAGTAGGTCTCCCGTTTGCATTTCTATCGTCTATAGATGACTTTGTCAGACAGGTAATTTCTGAAATTACTGAACTTCTTGTTGTGAAATTTTACTTTTGCTTTTAGAATATCGCTTAGGTAGTAAAACGCTAACCAAAATTTATCTCATCGTCACCATCAACAATTTAATGATGTCATCTCAATATTTTGCAAAGTAAATCCTACGCTTTATTATTAATGGGCCTTTATTTTTTTCGAGATGTTTGAAAAAATAATTGACTAACAACATTTTATCTGATTTTTTTGAAATTCTGGAAAAACTGTACTGTTGTTAATGGTACCTACTTATTCGAATTGATAAACTTGTTCTTACTATGAAACATTTTCTTAAGAAAAATTTACTGATAACAAACGCGTAGCATACTCATTTACCTCCACCTTACGAACACACACCTGTCTTTATTTTAACTTATAGAGAAAAAAAAATTAGGGACGGGGAAGTTCTGCCTCAATAAATCTGGACCAATTTTTACTTCCCGAGCATAAGCAAAGGAAGTATTGTAATCGAGTCCGTCGGCCAACTATCTACTTTTGCATTTTCTCGACCTATCATGACCCGTAGACGACGAAGAAATAGGTCTCACGTTTCCGTCGGTCGGTCCCTCTGTCTGTCTGTCTATCTGTCCGTCTGTCTGCCGTCTCGGATTTTTTTAGACAGATAATCTCGGAAAGTACTGGGCCGATTGTTGTCAAATTTTGTATTTATATTAGGTATATCATGTAGATCGTAAAACACTAACCAAAATTTGTCAAGTCGTCCCCACCACTAATATCACTTCAAAATTGTACATAGTAAATGGGTTATAAATTGTATCAAATAGCATAGTCTTGCACATGTAGTTTATGACTCCGAATTGAGATTTTAATCGAAACGTCCAGATTTTTGGAAAAACATCAAAATTAGGAAACAACATTTTGACATTTAATTTGGAATCTACAAAACCGAATGCC